ATTTTTTTTTTTTTTTTTTTTTTTTGACCTAAATTATCAATATTTTGTTTAGAACCGGTTGTACACAAGGCTTTCTAGAATTTTTTTTTTTAATGTGAGGAACCAGGATGTATCATTGCATTGTTTTGCCCACCACAATGAAATTTCTGGAGCTTTGATTATGAAACTAAGCACTTAAATGCCATCTTTACTAAAATCTATTTTGTTGGGATATACAGTGACAACTGAGATTTATGGATTTTATGTATGTGGGTAGTTTGCTATACTCTTATATAAACAAAAAAAAAACATTAGTTCTTGGTCAGAATTTCATTTACCTTTTTGTCCATTAAAAAAAACTGATCTCGGTCTTTTTTTTTTCCCCTTTAAGTGTGAGCTCCATATTCTCACAATATACTCCATGGTGTATTAAATATGATAAACACTGACTATTATTTGTAAAGGTTAAGTGTTGGAGAAACAACTGCGGTATTAAGGATCTCATTTGACTTCTTTTCTATGAGGGTGCATGTTTAAGAAATACGAGTGGTATGTCCTTATGTGGAACGCATAATTTGACTCAAAGGTAAATAATTATAATAAACTTCTCTCGGAAATAAAATGATGGAAACAAATGCCAACAACTGTTTCAGCCATTTTAGCTATCAAAGCTTAAAGGTGTGTGTGTGATGCCAACATACCATTTCTATTAACAAATTTAGAACTGACATAATGGTGAAAATATAATTTGATGTGATGAACTCAGTTGAAAACAAACAGTCGTCATAAAAACTGAATTTAAGTTTTAATTCCTCCCAGTCCATTTTAAATCGGAGTCAGTCGAGGCCAATCCCACAGGCCTCAAACGCCATGACCTCTAAGTGGATAAGAGCTTTCATACACGTCTGACAGCGACCAAATATTGCTATATTAAACCCAAGTTATATCCGTTTATATACTCACTGGTCATTTTTGATCAGTTTTGTCTTATTTTCAGATGAGCTCACCCAGTAGGCCGCTATCTTACTTCCCAACCAGCAAACCGATGGCTTTACTGTCTGGCGTCAAACTCTTTGGTCAAACTTACAATCTGTAGCATCGCGAGATCTTCCAGTAGCTCCTCACTGCAGAACAAAGATCCAGGAGGTGGGGTTGGATCCACATCTAGGGGGTGGAGATGGGTAGGTTTAGGGATCGGTAGGTTTAGGTATATGTAAGGTGAGAGGAGTTGGATCTGGATCCAACCTCGCCCCCTAGATCTTGTGTTCTGCAGGGAGGACCATCTCAGATCTTTTAGCACAGGAGGCAATCATTTGATTGGATGCGGCATGTGACGTCAGGTACGGGGACTGTTGTCATTGGGGCCTGTGATAGAAATGTGTGTATTTTATGTGCTTTTTTTTTTCCAAATGATATTTTGGAATGTAAAAAAAAAAGGGTGTTACAGGGTGATATTTTATCACTTAAACCTAATTATTTTATTATGAAAATACCATAAGTGGGCTCATTGCGAACCTTTAGGAACAAACTAAAAACGTTTTTAAAGCACGGTATGTAACTTTTTTTGGCCTGGCATCTAGTGTTGTTGTTGTTCTTGTTCTTACAGCACTGAATCATAAATAAATAATCTGCACCTTTATACTGTAAATAAACAAATAAATGTGTTTAATTGATATTAAATAAATAATAGGCCTTTTACAATATTTACTTAAGTTAAAAGTTGAGGTAGAGAATGCTAACAAGTGGAAAACGTAAGACGGGTGTGTCAAGATCTTCAACCAGTATACAGACAAGGAATAGGTTGCAGGAACATGGTTAGCTGAATGAATGAATGAATGATGCATTGTAGAATTGTATACGTTTTGGGGTGAATTAAAATAAGAAATAGCTTACCATTTTATGGTCATAGTTGCAGAACTGACACTTCAGCCATTCATTTGAGAGATTCACCATGTGCTGTTATCAGAGACAATGCCTGCATCATGATATAACATTCAGGGACATAATCTGTGATCCTCCTTCAACATGTCACACCAACTGGTTTGGGCAACAATAGATTAATCAGCTGCCATATTAGATCTTCTGTACAGATGAGTCACTGTTCAGTGTGTTCACAGGAGTGTCAGAGTGTGGAGGAGGACAGAGTAATGCTCATACCCAGGAAACCGAACCCTGGAGTGCCAGAGTAATTGTGGGCTAGTATTCAAAGCCGGATGTAGTTACATTTCCGTGAGCAGATGTAAAGTCAACATGAAATCAAAATGGACCTTATTTACTTTCTTAATGCTTTTTCCTGGTCTTACTGTGAATGATTAATCAATGCATGTTATTAAAAAAAAAAAAAAAGAAAAGTTTTGTATACCCTAATCCAGTGGTTCTCAACTTTTTTTTACCCATAATCAAAGGACCTCAATGCATGTTATTTTAAAGAAAAAAAAAAAGATAAGTTTTGTATACTCTAATCCAGTGGTTCTCAACTTTTTTTACCCATAATCCAAGGACCCCCATTTTAAGGTAATATTTTTCCTCGGGTATTTCAGCTGCAATTATGACAAAGCTGCTTGTTTAACTAACAACAATTTATTTTATCCATAAATTAAGAACTTAATATTCACAAAATAACTAAATAAACTGTTACTAAAAAATACTATTAACGGACATTTTAGTTATAATAATATATTAATTTATATAGTTAAACAACGTGATGATTTTAATCAGTAGCTGAAGAGCAGTGCAAAAATTGTTTTAGAAAAATGCCATGTAATCCAAACAATTCCTGGTGTATAAATTAAATTATTTAATTAAATTATTTAAATGCCATGTAATCCAAACAATTCCTGGTGTATAAATTAAATGATTTAATATAATGTTTTACTCTAAAATGTTTCGTATTATGAAGGTTGAGAAAAAAAATATGTTAACTTATAGGATGTAGAAAATATGGGCATGTTGACTTTATTTTTTTATTGTATTTTATTCATTTTTTCCTATATTTTTGTCAACAAATAAAATATAAAGAACTTGCTTTATTGTTACCTTTATTATATCTCCACACGTTTCAGAGGCTATTTTTCATAACTACATTTTCTACCATAATGATGTAATCGCTGTTCCCCTGAATTCCAGTAATTCCATCACTGTGCATACATGTCATATAGCAGAAAGTAAAACAAAACTCAAAAACATATTAATACTAGTGTTTTATTGCAAATATTTTAAACGCATTTGCCTTGCGGTGTGCCACCTGTAGAATCACCCATATAGCTGCTCTTTAAACAGTTCAGTGGATTTTTTTCTCCTTTTGTGAGACTTGTAGTTAATTTGCAAGTAGGTCGAGAGAGCTAGTTCCGTGCGGACAGGACCACAGATGTGACTAAACTGCCCAAGGCCACCACTAGAGCTCCAAGCAGAAACTTCCAAGAAATTCCCTGAAAGAGTAAGAAACAAGATCAAACAATGGAGGCACTTGGACGCCAACTCTAGCACATTTTGAAAGGACTTTTCCACCAATTTTATTCTCTTCACTAGGTGGTAATCAGTCACTTACAAACGGCTTTTTTTCGGGCGGAGGTGTCAGAAATGGCGCTATGTTTTCGCCCAACACTTGAGCTGGTTTAGCTTGCCAAGTCTGGGTCTCATTTTCCCCCGCCTGTCTTTTTACCAACTTGGACAGTTCAGCATGAATGGCCTATAAAATATAATATAAAGAAAAATATTAGCATTCAAACTCCTAATACAAAGTAAAACACAACTTTTTTTGATGTTTGAATTGAACTTTGAAGCCTACAGTTCTGTGAGAAAAAAAGGAGGTTCTGCACTTGCTAAAACTGAACAACAGATGGTGGCATTTCACTGTATGCAAGCTGTATCAGGCTGAATCATGATTTCGCTGGCTGGCTATCATTTTTTAAGAGCTATATAGATATATATTATAATGAAGTGTAATAAAGAGTTTGTTTATTAACTAATAACAATTAATAATAAAGTTGTTTTATTTTATTTTATTTTATTTATTTTTTATTTTACATTGCTGCTCCTGTTAAGTTTTTGATTATTGTGTACTTGTAGATTATACATTTGGTTGGCCTTAATGATATCAGTGTGGGAATCTTGTATGTGACTGAATCACTGTATTGAGCCTTTTATATTCTTTACTACTTTAACACCGTGCAGATTTTAAATTTAAAAAGTCTTAATGTTTTCCTTAGAATATACCACATTGTAATGGGTAAAGATTTGCATACAGGTGTATTTTCATCAGAAGCCATTAGCACATAGTATACACTTAAGAGACTGTTAACAGCCGAAGTATAAAGCAGCACATGTATCACCACTTTCCATCCCATGCCATCTCTGACTCTATGATCCTAATTTGCATTTTGCAATGAGTTCCCTCCTGAGGGAATGTTTGCTTTTTGCCCTGCCATCCAGACGGGGTGTCATTATAGCAACAGCAGATATTTTAGTTTTGTCTAGACAAGGTTCACTCTTCACCATGAGCACTTTGTGTCAAAGCACAGTGTGAGTGGACCTGAGGTCAATCACAAAATCACTCATCAGCAGGCCCAGATACAACCTGTGGAATGTCTTTGCTTCATTCTTTCTTATATTATCCCAAATTTGACACACACATGAGATAGTCAGGTCAAGTCAGTCTTAAAAGTCTTAAAAAGTCAACATTTTAATTGTAATAGTCATACAAAGTTTAAACTATTAGATGACAAATTTGAAATGTCAATCATAAACTTGTAAAATTTAAAATACAAGGTCAAAATTATGACATGCTTAGTCAAAAATGAGATAAGTCGAATTTTATGAGCTAAAAGTAAAAAATATACGATAATAATTATCACCAAAAAAAAAATATGGTATAAAAGTCATAATTATGACAAAAATGGTCACAGTTTTAACTTTCCATGTCATAATTATAACTTTATTTATCACAAAATTTGGACTTTTCTTCTTATTTGACCTCATTTGGCTGAAATAAGTCACCATACTGTCATTATCATAATACTGTAGTTGTGGTGTGGACTTACTTTCCTATTCTCATTGACTGATTATTGAAATTATTCCTTGGTAGGAATAGACCTGTAACAGATCGGCCAGGCTCCACCACCACCCAATCACAATGATCCCTCTCACCTGAGTACTGAGTACCTGCACCTGTCACTCATCAAGCACCTCATTAACCAGCCTGCATAAAAGCACACACCTCAGACACCCTCACTGTCCGGTCTTGTATACACGTAGAAGACTCAATGACTTTGCTACTACTCCCATTTGAATACCTCCTGCATTACTTACCTCCTGTGTTCCTACTAGTGTCTCCTCGTCTCCTGTTCCTCCTTGTTCAAGGATTGCTGAGGTGTGTGCTCCTCCTGCCTACATTCCAGCTCCTGTAAAGCCAAAGACTCGGATTCCCCCACTCATCATATCCTTCGAACTATTCATCCACCATAACATCCTCTGGACCCTACCCCACTACTCTATGTGACCAAATAAACCTGTTTTATATATACTAACCTGTTGTGTCAGACCTCTTCCGTTACAGAAGACCGGACCAACACCGAAGGCACAGATGAGTCACCCCGATCCAGTCCAGGACCTCGTAGACTCTCTACGACGAGTGCTACGCAATCCACTGGCATCACCACCCATCACTTCATCCATCCCAACCAGCACTTCTTCGCCTAACATCAACGCCAGTCCCATGGCCCGACCGGCGCCCTACTTTGGTTCGGCGGAGGATTGCAATGGATTTCTCCTCCAGTGTAACCTCACATTTAAAATGCAACCGCACTCATATACCACCGACACTTCAAAAATTGCCTTTATTATCTCCCTGCTAACAGGACCTGCATTGCGATGGGCGGAAACGATCTGAACTCAGGCCAGCCCCGTCATTCACAATCTGCTGAACTTCCTGGTGCATTTTCGCAAGGTGTTTGGAAGGACCGACGGAGATGCCGCTGTGGGAGAACAACTCTATCACTTACAGCAGGGTACCATGTCAATTGCCGAATACTCGCTGAAATTCAGAACTCTCGCAGCAGCAAGTGGATGGAATGAGAGATCGCTGCTGACTACTTACCGACAGGGGCTGGAGCCCCAGCTTCGGTTACAGCTCGCTGCGTATGATGATTCCTTTGGATTGGAAAAATTCATTCAATTATCCATCTGTTGTTCAAATCGCATGCAGTCCTGTTTAGCAGCAACACCAGTCCTCTACCTGTGTAATGCTTACTGCCTCTGATGTTTCTATTTCAGTATCGGCCCTTATCGACTCCGGGTCAGCAGGAAACTTCATCTCCCGGGACCTCTGCCGCCAGCTCAAGTTACAAGCTACCGCCACTGAAACGGTTTACCCAGTCCAGTCGATAACTAGCGTACCACTATGCCGTAGACATGTCCGCACTCGCGTGGGACCCATCACTCTTCGTCTGGGCCTACTTCACACGGAGGACATTCATCTTCTGGTTCTGGAGGGGTCTACTGCGGACATCATCTTAGGGCGCCCGTGGTTGGTAAAGCACAATCCCATTCTGTCCTGGAAGACGGGAGAAGTTTTGAAGTGGGGCAAGGATTGCTTCCCAGTCTGCTTCCCCGTGACTCCATCACCAGCCAAGAAACTCACGGAGGTCCTTCCTGTGAATTCAACCTCCGTTGAAAGTTCCCTAGTGAAGCAATCCATAGCTATTCCAGCCTGCTACGCCCCCTTCCATGACGAGTTTTGCCCCAAACAAGCCTCCCACTTACCACCACATCGGCCATGGGACTGCGCCATAGATCTCATTCCGGGTGAGCCAGTGCCTCGGGGAAAAATCTATTCACTGTCGCTTCCTGAACAGAAGGCCATGGAGGACTACATCAAGGAGGTGCTGGGTCAAGGTTACATCCATCCATCTAACTCCCCTGCTGCATCAAGTTTCTTCTTTGTGGGCAAGAAGGACGGAGGCTTGAGGCCCTGTATAGATTACCGAGCATTAAACAATATCGCCGTCAAATTCGATCATCCTTGTCCCTAATGCCCTGGAACATCTCTGAGGTGCGACCATCTTCATAAAGTTGGACCTCCGCAGTGCCTACAACCTCATCCGGATACGTGAGGGGGATGAATGGAAGACTGCCTTTGTGACCCCTACTGGCCACTACGAGTA